TATATAGAAATAGATAATAGATACGGCACAACTTCGCCTGAGGACGATTGGCTCAAGCGAATTGACCGAAAAGTGGGTTCTACGTGGTGGAAGACAAGATAATGGAAAAAATGAAGAAATATCCACCTTCCATCTATACGATAGTCCAATATTAACCGCCCATAGAACGACAGCCAGATTGACAAAAAATGACCTGCGCGTAACAAAAAAGCATTCATCTTTCCACAGAACTGGATGAAAGGCAATGCTCAGCGCAGATTCTACAGGATGTGATTACCTCTGGGATGTTATGGAGCAAGAGAAGTGAACACTAGTTCTGCACGAGCTCTGCACTGCAGCCCGATGAAGCCCGACGCTCTGGATTCAAAAAGATATGATGACTAATGGGGATTTGTTCTCAGTATTTAACGAATACATTAGTCCAGAAACAACCGAACCGGAAAACAACGCTCAAATGAAGATGCATGGCGGTTCAAAGAAACCATCGGAAGACGTGCAGATGGGTACCACGTCCATCTACCATGAAAGGAAAACGCTAATCTTCTACTAACCTACAAGTCGATCAAGGTTGCAGTCGCCTGTGCTCTATCTGAACCAGAACTTGCAGAATACGATGCAGTCATAAAAGGCAACTCGGCAAGGGCATAATAGAGCCGATCTATAACTACAAAGCAAATAAGAACACAGTTTTGCATTACTAGCCTCACCAAGCGGTCATAACCCCAGAAGCCAAATACGAAGCTACGAATTGTGTTCGACGCCTCAGCCCACTGCGTTGGGAAATTATCGTTAAACGATGCTCTCCATCAAGGACCGTTATTTCTACCCTCGCTAGTTGGAATGATGCAACGCTTCCGAATGGGGAAGACAGCATTAATAGCAGATGTAGAAAAGGCGTTTCTATAAGTCCTTCTCCATGAGGATGATAGGGATGCAATTAGGTTTCTAAGGCTATACGACCACCTACGGACGACAGCATTGCAAAATATCAGGAATTACTTTTGGTTTGAACTCTTCTGCTTTCCTTCTAGCCGCAACGATCAGATTTCCATCTAGAAACAGCGGACATTGATGAAGAATTCGCCAATGAACTCAATGCAAACCTTTACGTTGATAACCTTCTTATATGCAGAATCGACAAGGGAAGGCATTGAGAAGTACCAAAAGGCGAAAAAGACCTTCGAAGAACTCAATATGAATCTTCGCGAGTTCATATCGAATGACAAGAAGGTGAACAAATTCATTACGAAGGAGGACAAGTCAAACCAAGTGTCGCCAAAGGTGTTGGGAACCCAGTGGAATACGAAATCGGGTACGGTAGAAATCAAAGGCAACATACCATACCTGTCAGAAAAAAAAACTAAAGAACAGTTGGCACTATTGAACTATTCCTACCCCAAAAAACTCAAAAAAATTTTCGCTGAAACGTTGCCTATAGATGTAATTCGATGCGCTGATCACGAATATAACATCCGTTTCGAGCGCTGGCGTCATTTGGCGCCATTATGCGCCAATTTGGCGCCCACCACTTTTTTCACCAAAGTTGATGAAAACTTGCATATGGGGGTTAATTGAGGTCCTGATTACGAATCCAACATTTATTTTTGGCGCTGGCGCCATTTGGCGCCATTACGCGCCGGCGCCAAATGGCGCCAGCGTTCGAAACCAGTGTGATATTCGTAATCAGGACCTCAATTAACCCCCATAAAGTTTTCATCAACTTTGGTGAAAAAAGTGGTGGGCGCCAAATTGGCGCATAATGGCGCCAAATGACGCCAACGCTCGAAACGGATGTTATATTCGTGATCAGCGCATCGAATTACACCTATAGACGTTTCAGCGAAAAATTTTTTTCTGAGTTTTTGGGGTAGGAATAGTTCAATAGTGCCGAACAGTTTTGCATGCGAATGCATCAGTTTATTATCCAGTGAGATGGCTCAATCCACTACTGATAAAAAAACAAGGTTTTCTTCCAGTCACTGTGGAGGAAAGATTATCAGTGAGCTAAGAGCGCGTTCAGACTTCGCGATCGCGCTCTAATCTACTAGGGTATAATAGAAGACCAAGGGGACAGTGTATGCAAGGGTATCGCAGGATTCACAAAGAAGATTCCAACCAAGAGTGGCCACGAAAGGGTAAAATTACAAACTTGTACTCTTCAGCGATGCAAGCAGTACCGCAATGACTACTTGTGCACATCACACGACAATGAGCACCATCTCCAAGCAGATTGCGCAACAAGAGGTTTGACAACACAGGAGTTGAAAAACCACTACTGGTGGAAAGGACCAGCATTTTTCCTCAAGAAACCGACTGAATGACCAACTGAAGCATGATTATTCCAACTACCATTACAGGAGGTAGCTGTGCATATTGCAATGCACAATTTCGTGGATCATCTGGGATAAATTCAGCTCTGTGAAGGAACTCACAAGAATAAATGCTTGTATACTCCATTTTCTTCGCAACATTTTGAAACGACTACCAGAAGAATCAAGAAAACGAATCCAAGACACCATTCCAGCGCTAAAAGTCACACAGTCCATCAGTGCCAATGAACTGGAAAATTCTTAGAAAATGCTTATCAAAGAGCATCAGAAGCAGTATGCAAATGAAATAGCATCTCCACACTACGAAGCGGAATTTGGATAGGTCGCGTAGGGCAAAGCAATCTTTCAGATGATATGAAAAAACCTATCTTCATTACACCATACACTAAATTTGCCCATCTAAAAATTCGAGAAGCGCTTATAAGAATGCATTCAGCCACAGCACATACAATAACAGAAGTTCGAGCCAGGTACTGGATTCCCAGGCTAAGACAGCAAGTCACGAAGATCATAAGAAATGCGTCACATGTCAAAGGATCAACAATCTACCCTATCGTTATCCTAAAATGAAGGACTTGCCAGAACGTAGGGTTAGAAAATCAAGGCCATTTCCAGCACGTTGGACTCGACTACTTCGGTCCTCTCAAAGCAAAGACAGCTACGGGAGAAATAAACAAATGCTATGGATGTATCTTCACATGTGCTACCAGGAGACTAATCCACCTCGAACTTGACACGGACAACAGTACAGTTTGTATATGCCATGAGACGATCTATGACTAGGAGGGGAGTACCAACCTCGATAATCTAGCGATAATGCACCAACTTTCACTTTAGGAGAAGAGGTCATGGCAGATAGTTTGAAAAACGCTCGCGATTCAGAGTACTGAAGCTTTCATGGCAGATCGTCAATCAACCGGATCAAGATAATACCATATGCGCCGTGGCAGTGCGGATCCTCCTTGTGTGCCATTATCAGGATACACCTTCAAAAACTTTAGTGTGCCTTCAAAACACATATTTCCCTTCAAATGAGTGAAAGAGGAGCTCGGCTATCACTGATCGATTTGGTCCGAGTGTGCGCCGTGCATTACGCTCCTACGCAGAGGGATGGAAAGGTGTAAATTCTGATTTCAGGTGCTTTTATCCATGCAAGCAGATGTTTGTTTAGGGTTTGGAAAGGACAATACGCACGAATCTGTTTGAGACGTATTATTTAGTCATCTACGTACTTACGAGTTCATGCTATTAATTGATATTTATTTATTTTTATTTATTCTTGCTATTCTTGCTATCAATTTTTTATTATTTTGTAGTCCTCCTTACATCCGGGTCTTCTGCAGCTTTCCGTCAAACGTCGTCTTTCCGTTTCCATCAAACTTAGCAATGACACTTTTGTACTGTTTGATGCTTAGCGAGCCTACATTTGCGACTCCCCACGTCCCCCGCGGCCAAGTACGATCCCCTTTCTGGGGATTTCGCATGAAAAGAGGGCTGTTAAACGGAGCAGTTAAATCTGTAAAGAATACACTCATAATAATTTTTTTTTAAAACATCTTGACTTCCATAGCTCCACTCCCACTATCAACTGAAATGTCGAAGCATTGCCCGGCTCTGAGTGACCCTTGAGATTACGACCCCCTACCCAGCGGCCAAGTACCCCCCCCATGGGTCATACTTGGCCTGTGGTCAGTCTCATAAGCCAGTAAGCGCTATCAATATGAATAGCTCATTTGATATTCGAAAACCACATAAAATTAAAGGGAGAACCAGTGAATAGTTATTTTGGGTGTTGCTGTGCAGATAATATGGCTAGAAAATATTGAAAAATGCCTTTTCAGCTCCGTAAAGTCATTCAGAATCGATGGTTCCCTGAGCTTCATTGTGTTTAATCTTGCTGTAGTGAGTAGAACGGCGAAGCTCTTCTCTTCATTGAATCTTTATTATATGACTACGTTTCAAACATAAGCCTTTGAGTGAACGTAGCAACAACCCACACTATGGTAGAAGAGGGAAGGAGTGCAAAACTCCGTCAAGCCTCACTACGAAGCGGTAACTGATAGAAATAAAAGTGGAAGGATGAGGATCATTTATAAGGGTCAGGGGCAAGGTGTAGAAGTGTGAAAGGGAACTGACTGACTTGTGCGTGAATTGACTAAGGTCTGCAGTCGACATCAATATTCAATGAGGTGAGAAAATTTCGAAAATTTCAGAAGCAAGGTGCTTCCTTCTTCAGAAAGAGGGAAACACTGTTACATTTAGCCGTACGCTGGCTAGGAATATTGAAGAAATTCTATTTTAGCTCAGCAAAGTGTAAAAGGGAAGCGAGTGACTCGTTTGCTGACTTGCTGGTTGTGTGTGAGCAGCTCAGAGAGGAAGCTGAGAAGAAGTTAGATGAGCGAGAAATAGGAAGGCCAGCTTTGACCAACTCCTTACACAGTTCCTACTTCGAGGTCCACAAAAAGGCATTGCTCGTGACGAGTACCATCAAAGCTGCACAGAGTGAGGAGATAAACGGATAACTTAGGGTAAAATGTTATTGGGGTCTTGCTACATAGGTAGAAACAAGCCTCTGCCACAGCCCCAAGGGCTATGAGAATTTGAAACAATCCATCATAGTGAATTGAGAAGGTGTATAACTTTTGCATCAGCCTGCAGCAACCGTGTGATTTCCAGGGCTGTCACAGCTTCGCAGAAAATGTTGCTCTCGCACTAGAAGACATCAGCCGTTCAGTTCTTTGGACAACGTCACTAGAGCCTTCCATCTGTTCACCATATGGCCTCCCTAATCAAATATGTCGCCAGAGCGCCTTGGAATCTCAAGCATGGCAGGTTGACGAACTTGAAGAAACAAGGTTTGGGTATTGTGTCCGATGTAAGTGTGAACTGCTATCTACTCTATAACGTATTAAGTAACGTTGTTGAATACCCTATCAGCGAGCCGTCTTTTTCGGCTCACTCCACATCCCCCCCCCTCCCTCACTCTCTCCTGTATATAACACTGGAAGTTACTATGTTGTGTGGAGAAGCCACAAAAAACGGAAAACTTCAAAATTAAAGGCGTCAATCAAGGCGTAACGTTTGCAAGTTATTCCGGAGTTGGGTAATAAAGATTGGTAGGTGCGCGCGTCAGTTCACCTGACTAGTTCACGCTCGCCATAATGTTTCCCTTGCTGAACCGATTGCGTTTTATATGGAGCCACGCGGCGTGGTGCAGTGATCGCGGCGAAATCATAGACTCTTCACATCCCTGGGATAGAGGGGCATCTCTGGTTGTTCCTTGTTTTGAACTTCTGTTACCTAAATCTTTTGCCATTTCTCCGATCATTCACCCCTTTTAGTTTGTTTGATGATCACGTCGTTTCGAGATGTATTTTCTAAAAGCAATTTTCATGAAAATGACCATTGGTTTCAAGGTCCTGATCAGTGTTCGCGCGCGCGTCGTGTTTATGTAAAATGGCGGTTCTACCGTTTTCAGAGAAGTTCATCGCTTTATTTTTTTTGTACTGCGCTAACAACACCAATGCTTTGTGCTGACTGGCCCCTCTCTCCCACCTCAACAGCCAATTACGGCACCCCCGCCCCTCCAAATGAGGAATCATCAACGATGATATGCCCTGACCCTGACGCTGAGCAGTAGGAAGTGTTCATACAGCTGTTCGGCACCATGATCAAATTTATGGTTTTTCACTGTCAGTTCAATTCAAAGCAACAGAGAATTGTATGAGAAAAACACTCCACTGAAGAACAGGGGGAGGGAACATTCAGAGAATATTCGTGCAAAACTGGGACTGACTCCGTGCGAAATATTTTTAGGGACATAGAGGTTACTTCTCCCTACCCATAAGCACGATAATTTGGTAGTGGGTCTAACATAGTAGCAAGGGTGCTATATTGTGGGGAAATGGCAAAAAACGGAGTGAAAAGGTCAAAAACCTGCAAAGAAGAGCTTTTGTTCTGAGTGATTCTAAAAGCAATTTTGCTTTCCCGCAGGGCAACTTGCCATTAATCGCTACGAAATTTGGTTGCTTGTGTGTACTCATATAGTATAAATATGGTAAAGTATGAAAGGATGAAAGAATCAGTCGCTCTACAACCGGTCACTACCACTAGCGGCGCAATCGATCACTCCGCTAGGCGGCGAGTTCAAACGCGCCGCTGAGCGGCGCGAACGCGAAGACTGAACGCTGCCTAGGCAGCGTTCATACTTCGCGACAGCAGCGGCGATCGCGGCGACCTCGGCGATCGCCGCGATCGTCGGTACATGGCAGAGCGCGCCCCAACGCTATTACTTGGACCGCTCCGAAGGCTTTTAGGGAGAAGCGACTCAATTTCATGCTTTTTTCCTTTAACTGCAATTTTCTTAGGTACTGAAGCTTGGTTTGACACAAAGAAAGGTGAACCCATCTTGGCTTTTGTTTTCTATTTTCTTTCTTGATTCAGGATAGAAATGAGCAAAAAGCGTGAGAGCTTCATTTAGGGTAGGTTTTTATTGTTTTTTCATTCGTCGAGCTTATACATGAGGTTATAAAGTTTTCACCTGTTGATGTTGCGTAAAATGATTAGTGTTTTGGTTCCTAGGTGAGTTTCTTTCTGTTTCTTTTTTTCTTCGTTGTTTGAACTCGACTTGTAA